GAGGGAGGGAAGGAGGAAGGAGGGAGGGAGGAAGGGAGGGAGGAAGGGAGGAAGGGAGGGAGGGAGGGAGGGAGGGAGGGAGGGAGGGAGGGAGAGAGAGAGAAAAGAGAGAGAGAAAAGAGAGAGAGAAAAGAGAGACAGGCAGACAGACAGAGACAGACAGACAGACAGAGACAGGCAGAGAGAGAGAGAGACAAACAGACAGAGAAAGAGAAGAGAGAAAAGAGAAAGAGAGACAGAGAAAGAGAGAGAAAGAAAGAAAGAGAAAGAAAAAGAAAAAGAAAGAGAGAGAGAGAGTTATCACAAGAAACGCCTCTGACTCTGTGCTATAAGAAGACAGGAGTAAGCATGGGACTGACCGCACACAGGGGGTCCCGTGACGTTAAGGGGGGGGGGGGGGGGGGGTGAAGGGAGGAAGGAGAAAGGGGAGAAGGAAGAAGGGGAATGAAGGAGAGGAGGGAGGAAGGAAGAAGGGTGAAGGAAGGAGGGGAAAGAGAGAGGGGAGAGGGGAGAGGAAGAAGTAAGAAAGAGGCCGAAAGAAGAATGGGAAAAGAAGGAGAAGAATGAGAAATGGGGGGTAGGGGGAGGGGGGAAGGAAGACCGGGGGAGAGAAAGCCGTGACGAGGCCACAATACCCCCCTCCTCCGCCCCCCTCTCACCCCCTCCCCCTACTTGGCACTGGCACAAGCTTAGTACAGTTGGGGGGAGGGGGGAGGAAGTAGGGGGGGAGGGGGTTGTGGGCATCTTCTACTTTCTTAAGTTCTTTCACGTGAGGTTTGTGAGGAAGGAAGGGACGAAGAGAAAGAATGGAGAGATAAAGACGAAGAGAAAAAAAGAAACAAAGTAATGTAGTTAAAGAAAGAGAAACAGAGGATGAGACAATGAATGCAAGAAAACAGAGGAAGTAGTGAAAGAAAGAGAAAGAAAGAAGGAAAAGAGAAAGGAGCGAAAGATAGATAAGAAAAAGTCAACTAAAGATAAGAAGAGTAGGGGAATGAGAAGGAAAAGAAAAAGTAAACGAAAGAGAAACGCAAAAAAGATAAACGAAAAAAAGGAAATAGAGAAAATACTATATTCCACTAGTGACTCTTCAGCTATCTGAATCTCAAAATTCCAAAACGGTATTATTTCATATCTTAACATTAATTCTCCAATACGATCTTGCAACTAAAATATTAGCGTTAGAGCAAAATACAAGCAAATGTATTTGTAAAAAGTCGTCCTCTTCAATTAAAGCGAAAAAAAAATAACTCTACATTTGTTTCCAATAAGTAGTTTCAGAAAACATTTATATACAGGAGAAGAACGCATTTTGTTCACATTTGCGTCTTTTCATTATATCTTTCAACAGTACTTTGTCCTGAGGAGATCTACATCGCCTACCATGTGACGCAGGAAAGGG